AAATTCAAGAAGATAGAAAACATATCAAGCATCTTCTCAGATCACAATGGCATAAAATTAGAAATCAATCACAATAAAAACAATAAAAAAAATCAAACACCTGGAGGCTAAATAACATGCTATTAAACAAGGACTGGGTTAGCAGAGAGATCAAAGAAGAAATAAAAAGCATCATGGTAACAAATGACAATGAAAACACAACAATCCAAAACCTATGGACACATTTAAAGAGTCTTGAGAGGGAAGTTTACAGGTGTATCTCAAAAAACAAGAAAAAAATGGTAATAAATTACCTAACCCTACAACTCAAAGAGTTAGAAAGAGAGCAACAGGAAAAGCCCAGCATAAGCAGAAGGAAGTAAATAATAAAGATCAGAGCAGAAATAAACGACATAGAGACAAAAAACAACAACACAAAAGATCAACAAAACCAAGAGCTGGTTCTTTCAAAGGATAAACAAGATTGATGCACCTTTAGCCAGGCTCACCAAGAAGCAAAGAGAGAGGACACAAATAAACAAAATGAGAAATGAAAGAGGTGAAGTAACAGCCGATCCTACAGAAACACAAACTATTATGAAAAAAATACTATGAACAACTCTATTCTAACAAAATGGACAATCTAGACGAAATGGACATATTTTTAGAAAAATACAAGTTCCCAAAACTCAATCAGGAAGAATAAAAAAACCTGAATAGGCTTATAACCACTGAAGAAATTGAAGCAACGATCAAAAATCTTCCAGCAAACAAAAGCTCTGGTCCGACTGGCTTTACTGGGGAGTTCTACCAAGCATTCAAAGAAGAACTAAAACCTATACTCCTCAGACTATTCCAAAAAATTCAAGAGGAAGGCACACTTCCAAGCTCTTTCTATGAAGCCAGCATTACCCTAATTGCAAAATCAGATAAAGACACCACAAAAAAAGAGAGCTACAGGCCAATATCCTTGATGAACATAGATGCTAAAGTCCTCCACAAAATTCTAGCAAATCGGATCCAGCATTACATTAGCAAGATCAGACACCATGACCAAGTGTGGATGCAAGGATGGTACAATATCCGCAAATAAACAAACGTGATACCATCACATACACAAATTGGGAGACAAAAATCACATATCAAATGATGCAGAAAAAGCATTGACAAAATCCAACACACTTTCTTGATAAAAACTCTCAGCAAAGTGGGAATAGAGGGATAATACATCAACATAATAAAAGCCATATATGACAAACCTATAGCCAACATCATACTCAATGGGCAAAAACTAAACTCATTTCCCCTAAGATCAGGAACAAGATAGGGGTGCCCACTTTCACTACTCCTGTTTGATATAGTACTAGAAGTGCTAACCATAGCAATTAGACAACAAGAAGTAATAAAAGGAATCAAAATTGGAAAAGAAGAAGTAAAACTGTCCTTATTTGCAGATGACATGATACTGTACATAGAAAAACCCACAGACTCCATAAAAAACTACTAGACCTAATAAATGTATTCGGCAATGTAGCAGGATATAAAATTAACACCCAGTAATCTATGGCCTTTTTATACACCAATAATAAACTCACAGAAAGAGAAACAAACAAAAAATCCCATTTACTATTGCACCAAAAAAATTAAGATACCTAGGAATAAACTTAACTAAAGAGGTAAAAGGCCTGTATTCAGAAAACTACAGGACACTGAAAAAAGAGATAGAGGAAGACATAAACAAATGGAAGGCCATACCATGTTCGTGGATTGGTAGAATCAACATCGTTAAAATGTCAAGAATACCCAAAGCAATTTACAGATTCAATGCAATCCCTATTAAAATACCAACAGCATATTTCAAAGACCTGGAACAAACTCTCCAAAAATCCATATGGAATAAAAAAGAATCCAAATAGCTGTAGCAGTCTGGAGAAAGAAGAACAAAGTTGGAAGCATCACAATACCAGATATCAAGCTATATTACCAAGCCATGGTTCTCAAAACTGCCTGGTACTGACACAAGAACAGACATATAGATCAATGGAATAGGACAGAGAACCCAGAAATCTAGCCAAGCCATTATGCTCAATTAATATCTGACAAAGGAGGCAAGATCACACAATAGAGTCAAGACAGTCTCTTCAATAAATGGTGCTTGGAAATTTGGTCAGATAGATGCAAAAAAAGAAACTAGATCTCCAACTTACACCATACACAAAAACAAACTCAAAATGGCTAAAGGACTTAAATGTAAGACGGGAAACCATAAAAATCCTACAAGACTCCATAGGCAGCAAAATAGCAGACATATGTTGTAGCAATATCTTTACTACACAGA